CGTAGTTAGAATAGCTTTCATAATAATAATTAACTACCATGTATTATCCCATATTTCATAGATATTATTCCGAAGCTAGAATATATTTTCTTAATACAAGAATTTCACACTCCATCATCGTGATTTATAGCTTCACAACGTCAGTCAGAGCGCTTAAAGAATGATTCATTTTAAGTGTTAATATTCACAATTGATAGATTTATCTCATAAAACATGAGATCTAATTTTGCAATAGCTATTAAAAATGTTCTAATGTATTTTTTTATTTTCCAGATTTCTTTTGGAATGCAGATTTAAACGATACACGTGTATTGTGTCTCGTGAAGTGGACGTTGCAAGGTTGAAGTTCTTTTTTCACAGTATACTTACATAACATAACATAACATCACGCCTTTTATCCCTAAAGGGGTAGGCAGTAGTGCACACAGAAGTTACACCCACTTTTCACTATTTATGTTATGAGTCCCATGTAATAGGGGGTGAGCCTATTGCCATATACCGGGCACAATTCCAGACTCCGTGCTACTACTGAGATTTTTTTAAAAACCCAGTAACTATCTATTTCAAAATCCTACACCAAAAGTAAAAAAATTATATCCACACGATGTCAGAATAAAAAGTTCGTCTGCTAATAATACATGACACAGGAAGGAAGCTCACACGGCGAGTTCTGATTAAATTTGTCGCGTTATAGGTCTAAACTATAACGTTTAGTCTTAAATTAGCTGTAGAACAGTAAATCAAGGGATTCGGGCCAACATTACGCCATGAGAGTGCCACAAATATTTGTGAAACTACGTGTTTATTATAACATAGTACCCTACTTATAGATTTATGTACAGTTAAGAACGCAAAGATGAGAGTAGCTACGTGATAATATTATATGGGTAAAAAGATTTTCTATTTAAATTACACTCAAATTCTAATTGTTTATTATCTCAAGAATTACAATATCAGTCTAACATTGAGGCAGACCCTTATGGCAGAGGGCCACAAACGAGCGGATGGATCATCTGATGGTAAGCAATGGGCGCCGCCCATGGACAATAGACACCCAAAACACCAAAAGAGTTAGAAGTTGCCAGTTGTGTAGTAGGTTTTGAGTGATTGAAGATTTGGAATGAAGTGGGTACTCAATTTAACAACGAAATCTTAGTTCACAAAGCTTATACCCAAACCAATGAAATAGTTATTCAAAGCATAATTAAATTTTCCCAATTTACCCGAGTAAAAATTATTAGTAGTTCTTTAAAGGTGCTACCTCACCGGGAGCATTCGCGTGTAATGTAACGTTACAGATCTGAGCATTACATCAGTGAAGGAGGAGAACCGAGCATTACAATGCGCACCTTGTAATGATACAATGTGTAATATCTTGATACAACTTGTAACATCAATGTCCGACATCTTACTATGAAATGCTCAAAGTCGAATCATACGTTACATTACACGCAAATGCTCGTTAGTCAGGGAGGTATTAATGTAATGTAATGCTCAAAGTCGAACCTATAATGTTACATTACACCTTAATACCCCATAATTATTACTTATACTCAAAATCTTCGAACACATAACTCGCATACAATATTTTGACGCAGCTTTTGTTGGTTACTGTACACTGCATTCATTATGAGTTACGTTGGCACAAGCGTGTAATTGCAACGACTATTACTCGGAATTACCCAAAAAGCTGCATTTGCTAGTGACGTGAACTCCAGATGCCTGGCCGTAAATGAGAAACGTGGCTATGAATAGATTCGTCAAACATTTGACGGTCGTATTAGTACAGCTACAGTGCTAAGATATTTACCGTAGGTAAGTGAATCAGTAGGTTAAAGTTCACTGCTGGTCTATGAGTCTACTCTACGAAAGAGGGTTTATAATTTTATATCATAACTATAGCTGACCCGGCAAACTTCATACTGCCTCAAAAAATCTTTACTCATCTTTTAGACCTGACTTCCATGAACATTTCAAGACCAAAGTTAGCCAAATCGGTTGAGCCACTTTCGAGTTTTAGCGAGACTAACGAACGGAAAGTCTATTTTATTTATATAGATAGATATCCAAGCTTGGCAAGCAGGTTGGAGGTTGCAGTTTAAAAGTATGTATTACCAAAGTTAACCAAATGACGCTGCTGCCATGTATCTGTTAAATATGTAGTCAATTAGTTTGTTTTAAGGAATAGGAGGCAAACGAGCACACTGATCACCTGATGGTAAGCTATCAGCGCCATCCCGCTCGCAACACCAGAGGAGTCACAAGTACGTTATCGACCTTAAAAAGGAATACGCACTTTTCTTGAAGGTTTGAATGTCGTATCAGTTCGGAAATACCGCCGACGACAGATCTTTCCACAGTTTTGCTGTGCAAGGCAGAAAGCTACGAGAGAAGCGCACAGTTGTGGCCTGCCAACCATCTACATACATATATGTATCTATGATGTTGTCATGAGAGTTGATGACGAAAAGACGTAGCAGAAATCAGACCAAACAATAGGGTAGATGCCTAATTTTTATTTTAACATCCGTCTGGTAGATTATTGTAAATCATTAGACACGTATTTTTTATTTTCTTACAGAAGCGAATACTTTCGACGATATATTGATTTGAAATGTCGCGTGACGTCACTTCTATGTACATTTTATACGTAAAAATGACGTTTCAGCCCCCACTCTAAACTTTGATTCGTTTTGTCTAAGTATTGTTTTATTATACGACAAAATAAAAAATACGTCTAATAATTTTTCATTGCCTAACTTACGGACTAATTAGATTTTTAATTTTCATACCCTGTAATCATCATAATTCCTCAGAGCACGCCCCTGGCATAAGCGATAGAAGATGCACAACGAAACTACATCTCTATGCATTAGTTAGTCGATTCGTATGATATTCGCAGGAACAGCAGGGGTGGTGACAGGAGTATTCTGCCTTCATAACAAGGTTTGTAATCTGCTAGCTATTCGTTAGTCACTCACTAACGAACAAACATTATAAGTTTCTTTAGTTATATTATACTTTTATACACGCGGCTTCACTCGCGTCACAAAAAGATAAAAAGTAGCTTATGTGACATAAACCAATACACACAGCGCCATCTATACCAATACTTTTAATTTCCCTCGGGAATATCAATTTTTTCCGGGATAAAAAGTACCCTATTATTTAATCCGGACTTCTATCTTCTGCAAAAATTCAAAGCAATCGGTTAAGTAGTTACGGCGTGAAAGCGTAACAAACAAACAAACACTCACTTTCTGATGTATAATATTAGTAAGGATTATTGGTTAGCTCTATGAGTAGATGTGAATTAAGAGAAGGAAAAATATGTACATACGTATGCATATATTATTGTGATGAAATTCTCGAAATCGTGCAATACATTTCTCTCGATATAAAACTGTTGTTGTTTAGTCTACACATAGATGTTCTAGATTTTTAGAAGTCAAACTATATATCTGTTCTCTATCTGGCGTTTCAGATCGCCATTTGTAAAAACAATGGCCGCCACACAAGATGAGGTAGTTTGCTAACGCGCAATACGATTGCATTGACCGATGAAATAGACTTTTAAACTGTCAAACACCAAGCGGTCACCGGTGACCGCGACCTATTGTTCTTTAATTGTGTCTATAAAACCGGTACTCGACGAGTTAAAGTCAAAATCATTTATTTCAATAGGGTAGATGCTTAATTTTGATTTTAATGTCCGTCTGGTAGATTATTTTAAATCATTAGACACGTATTTTTTATTTTCTTACAGAAACGAATACTTTCGACGATATATTGATTCGAAATGTCGCGTGACGTCACTTCTATGTATATTTTATATGTAGAAATGGCGTTTTAGCCCCCACTCCTAAACTTTGATTCGTTTTATCTAAGTATTATTTTATTGTACAACAAAATAAAAAAAATACGCGTCTAATACTTTTTCATTACCTAACTTACGGACTAAATGGGTTTTTAATTTTCATACCTTGTCATCATCCCAATTAGACCAGAAAGGCACTTTTGAACGTCAACAAGAAAAATTAAAACTGAAGCTATTTGCTCATTCCAAGGTGTAGATTCCTATGGAGAAGAACGAACAAGAAACTCCATAGGTTACTCTTTTTCAATCAGGTTCACAACTGTTCTGCCTTTTTTTTAAGGGGGGAAAATCATCGAATGACTGCTCCCGCCTGGGTGAGGCGGGAAGGAGTGTCAGACTCTTACTGACTAAAAACCACCCCGTTCCTTCTCCTGCACGTCGAGCCGGTAATGATTATGACGCAAAACTAACAACTACCTATAACTTTGGCGTTGAATTTAGTGAGATGCGTCGCCAGAGGTGCTAGTATTTGATCTGCGTAAATTATAGTTTAAAATATAGGTTTAAAACCAAATAACCTTCTAATAAGATTAACTCGAAATCAGATCTCAATTGAACATACCGGCGGTATTTTTGTTAAGGGGTGTAAATCATCGAATGGCTGCTCCTGCCTGGGTGAGGCGGGAGTGAGTGTCACTCTTACTGACTAAAAACCACCCCGTTCCTTCTCCTGCACGTCGAGCCGGAGCCCCGGTAACCCGTTAGGTTCTCCGCGACTCCGTATATACCGGTGGTATAGAATATTTCTTCTTTGCGAAAAAGAATATCTGCATTTGTTTATAGTACTGACAGTCTTAGAATAAATTTTAACCGTGAATTTACCTGTGAGTGGTGATGTTAGATTGTTTATTTTCTCAAGACACATAAAGAAAGACGCCTAATTTGATAGATTGGTGCGTTGAAACAAGTAGTTAGTACATTGTTGAAATTTCAATATTAACGTTTTTTTCACACTACAGTGTTGCCAATTTTCGTTCCGGCTGAACGTCGGTACACTGACAGATATTTATTTTCAAATTAAAAATAACATTTTACGATAAAGGAAACGCGTGTTCACGAAGATCTTTTTTGGCAAAAACCACGAGCATATCTCTTTGAGCTGTCAAAAAAAAAGAAAACAAAATGTGATCTCATTAAATGCATTTATTTTTTGTTTGTTTACGGAATTCCGAACACGATATACAGTAAGGATACAACAATAACCTGGACTTAAAATGCCTGGTTTATTTTAGAATATTATATTTGAAAACAACTGATCTGAGCAGTCTGAAACACTGATATTGTGAGACTTTGTCCACAATACGCTAATCAATTTTGATATTTTGATATACCGTCGTCTCTCTCACTCATGGAAAAGTCGCATATCTGCGTCTCATTCTAACATCAGTGCTCATCTAAGTGAGCATACTTTCGTCTCAACTTTTCCCTTTTATTTTTATTCGCGTGTTTCTTCTCTTGCTTCCAGGGTTTGCTCAGTTGAGTGTCCGCGGATTGCGCCCCGGCAATGCTGCAATAAAATATACCTTATTTCTTACGACATAAAACGCATAATTCAAATACTGATTACTCATAAGATTTATTTTGACTAGTAGCACTAAATTTTAGTGCTTTCGAAAGTTTATTTCGGTAAAAAAAATATATCATCATTAATTTTTGAAAAGAGTTAACTATTTTTGGCCCACGCTGTTTGCGCGCCGTCAGAGATATTATAAACTCTCAGTAAGTACATTCAACTACGCAAGATTGAAATAAGATTAAAAGTATAGTCAAGAGTATGTATGTAGTGTACACGGCTGAGTACTGTCATAAATACAGTCTAGTTAATTAAGCCGTCTGGCTATTTCAAAGTATATCTAATTAGTCCTTTTAGTTTTGTCCGAGAAAGTACATGGTTTATAAGTTCGCAAAGGCCCCGGGTCTTACGAGGTTAGATACCAATTTTCGCGACGTTAGCACTGCTCATAAAGATGCTCAAACTTTATGAATTAACACTTGGCTAGCATCCAGGGTGGCCATTTCGTCTTCACACAGTTTATTTAGGTTTCCCTTAGCTCTAATTGATAATAACGCTGAGATATCTTTCATCTTGGCCAATATAACTGGGATATTTTTATATTGCACCGTACTGTTTTGGAGGTCGGCACGTTCGTTGCAAGAGTAAAATTATACTCGTTGCCATGGCAACGTTACATTGGAATTCTTGTGCGATGTTTCATTTTGATTTGCGTGTTAACGCCTGTATTGATTTGAGCTCATCTATAGAAAGATGAGAACGTAAGCATATCATTACTCACATAGCTGTCAATAAATAGAACGGATAAATCTTTGGTATGTGCTATTGTACATATATTTTAATAGTTTACGTCTAAAAAATAAGACGTCAAATACCAGAGCCAATAGCCCTGAATATAACAAATAGATTAGACTGAAAACCAGTCAAAATCAACGACGCCCGCCTCGCCTTTATCAATTTCTTAAAACAATCGATAAAAAATCGATGTTATGAATCGAATAAATAAAATCGATAACGCCATTTCGGCCCAACACTCGATAAAAAGACTCCGATACCTTAGAAAATCGATTAAAAATACCATGTACAATAAATATTTGCGACATATAGACATAGATAACATTTAGTTTCCATTCTAACTACTTGTACATCGACTACACATATCTAAGTATAGTTGTATGCCAAATCTAGACATATAACGACATGTAACATGCGTATTCTTACCCAAGTACTGGTTTGCCTTTGACGTGTGCGGCGCTTTTCTGCATAGCGAAGAAAGCCTTGTCAATCTCGTTGGATTTGTTCAACCAGCCCTGTAAGTAAGTACGGATTAATGAAAGGTTTTTTGTGATCACCTGATGGTAAGCAATCACCGAAATGTCGTGGTGGCCCGGAGGTTATGACGCCCGCTTCTCTTCGAAACCTACCAACTGCAAGTACCAATGTGACTTTTTCCGAGTTATATGTACTTTCTAAGATTATTTAGACACCATTGACAAACGGTGAAGGAAAACATTGTGAGGAAACCTGGGCTTATAATTTCATTATTGGTTTGAAATCGCCAACCCGCATTGAGCAAGCGTGGTAATGCTCAAACCTTCTCCGTTTTCCGGGATTAGGAATTTGAGGATTGTTGCGGATTCGGGGATTGGCGAGGGGGGTAACTAGGCCTCAAGTAACCTCAATCACAAGGAATAAAAGGTCTAATAAAAGAAGCCAGATATTATAAATGACCAGCGAGTATGTATTTAATAGAGAAGTATGTAACCTTTCTTTGAGGGGGGAAAATCAATGACCTCCCACCTTGAGTGAGGCGAATAGATAGTGTCAGACTCTTACCGGACTAAAAACTACCCCGTTCCACACCTGCTTCGAGCTGAAGGGAATTCGTGGCCGGCCCCGGTATTTATCGAGACACAGAACCACAGTTTGAAATTACATAATTCATATATTTGTAATATTAAACAGGTAATGAACAATTTAATTTTGAAATCATCAACAACTTACAATATTGAAAGCCAACATATTCAAACATTTATTGAGTATCGACATGCAAACGAGGTGTTTACGAGCTCTAAAACTTATAATAACGGTTATTGAGGGCAACACTGTCGTAGATTATTAATATAGGGCAACACATTCACTGGAACATTTTGTTTCTTTTAGTAAGGTATTTGCACATGAAGTATGAAGCAAGCAAAAGTCTGAAGGCTTGAAGGCCTGAAGAGTTTGTTTGTTCGAAGGCGCTAATCTCTGGAACTACTGATTCGGATTGAATAATATGGTACATAGTTGTCAATGTAAGAAAATTAAAATACTAATTAGTCCGTCAGTTAGGCAATGAAAAAACATTAAATGTATTATTTTATTTTCTCGTATTACAATACTTAGATAAAATAGCTTTAAGTTTAGGGAGAGATCGTGTCACACGATATTTCAAATTAATATGTTGTCAAAGATATTTAATTTTATGAGAAAAGAAATAATACGTGTCTGTTTTAAATTATTCTATCAGACGAACAATAACATAAAATTTAGGAAACCACCCTATAATTGTTGTGTTGGGTAGTCCGTTAACGGAGGAAGGTAATAGACTACAAAACATCACTCAAGCACTCTACTAGGAGTCAAGCAGCGAGTGAGACTAAGCGGGAGTAGCTGTTTAAACTGTATCATCATCCACAGCCACAGCTAATCACCACGCTTGCTCAATGCGGGTTGGCAATTTCAAACTTACAATTAGAAATGATAAACTCGGGTTTCCTAACGATGTTTTCCTTCACCGTTTGTCAGAGGTGTCTGAATAATCTTAGAAAGTACATATAACTCGGCAAAAGTCACATTGGTACTTTGCCGTTGATAGGTTTGCATCCGCACTCTCGTGCATGAGAAGCGGGCGTCTTAAACCTCGCCACGGTTAAAGGGCTCGTACACAAAACTGCGATGCGAATTCGAAACGCAAAAAATTTCGATGCGAATTGCTGCGATGCGATTTCGTGCGACAAGGCATCTCCCAGGGTGACCATTACTTCGACAACCGTCAACCGTACTAAACAGTACACATATTTGAAATTAAAAACTAGGTCGTGACATGGATCGTAAAAAGAAGCGTGCACTTTTGTTATTGCTTAGGAGATACAGGAGAAAGAAACAAAAAATATTTTGGGAAGATAATATTTTGATGCGCGATGCGAATCAATTCGGAAGTTCTTGCAAGGCGTAGTGGGAGGTCGCATATTTCGCATCGCAGTTTTATACACGAGGTCAAAATGTATGTGAACGACTAATCGCCAACTAGTTGCTCCATGTGTGTAGCGCCTAAGTATATTGCCAGTTTGATCTATATCTGTTGAATTCCGTTGTGTTGTTAATCATCCGCCAACAGGTAGTAAAACGTAGACTAATGTATGGGAGTGTAACAGTTTTCATTTTTGTGCACCAGTTGAGTTGAGAAAGTGATGAATTGAGTACTAACTCTTGTTAGCCCAAACTGGTGTAGTAACTTTGATGGATTTTGGTGTAAACCTAATATTTCTATTTCTACTTATATAAAGATTAGTATATAGGAATAGGTGTTGAATGCAATTTTACGTTAAACTTGGACAATTTTCATTGTGATACTATAGTTTTTTTTTTTATAGTAGGGCGGAAAACGAGGGTATAACACGTATTTTTTTATTTTGTCGTATTAAGTTACAATTCTCAAATAACGTGGCGCTAAGTTTAAGTATTAGAGGTCGTTACGTCACAACGTGCTGCAAAATGTAGCACGCTGTGACGTCACACTATATTTCAAATTAATATATCGTCGAAAGTATTTAATTTTGTGAGAAAAAAATACGCTACTAATGTTTTAAACTAATCTATCAGACGGACATTAAAATAAAATTTAGGAAACCACCCTATACTTGAGGAGTTGCAATTGTGTTGCTAGCCTTTTGGGGCTTAGTGATTTGAGGATTGGGATTTGGGGATGGGGATCCAAATCCTACCATTCATCGCATCCTCCTACCATCCTAATATTTTAAATACGAATGTATGAAGCTTTCTTTTTTCTTATGGGATAAGCCGGACGGATCACCTAATAGCAAGCAACCGGCGCCGCCCATGGACATCTGGAACACCAGAGGCGTTACAAATGCGTTGCCGGCCTTTTGGGGATTAGAAATTACGATTATTGGGGAGTCAGGTATTGGAGAGATTGGCCCTCAAGTAACCTCACTCACACGACGAAAATAACACCGTGGTATCACTCCGGAGCCGACCCATTCGTCGTGCCGACCGGACAAAAGACGGTCGATAATTTTTATTTCATTACTAGCTTTTACCCGCTTAGGCTTCGCTCGCGTCACAAAAAAATAAAAAGCCAATGTGACATATACCAATACACACAGCGCCATCTATACCAATACTTTTGTTTTCCCTCGGGAATATCAAATTTTTTCGGGATAAAAAGTACCCTATTATTTAATCCGGAAATCTAACTATACATCTGCAAAAATTCAAAGCAATCAGTTTAGTAGTTACGGCGTTAAAGTGGAACAAACAAACAAACAAACAAACAAACTCACTTTCAGATTTATAATATAAGTAAGGAATAAGTAAGGATAAGGATAATATTTAATACTTTTTACTACTAACTTCAACCATTCTAGCTTCCCGAGGCGTTGGTTTCCTCTTCTCATTTTTCTTCCTCTCCTGCAACATATCATCGAGTGGTTGGGGTTCACACCCGGGCGGTAACTGTGCCCAACGTAACCGTCCACTGGCCGCTTCCTTTAGCATGATGCGAGCTGACCGAGACTGGTCTGGCTGACCTGCTGCCGTCATGAAGCCTCTGTTGACTGGATAAAACATATGATAATTAGTTATTTTTTTAATTACATTTTTTTCCTGGTACTATTTTTAAAAGATAGGGAGCAAATAATCAGTTAGTCATGTATGTTTAAAGATTTTTATTATTCTCAATAATAAACAACAGATAAATAAAACAACGATAATGAAAATTCGTGGTTACCATAATACACATCTGATGCATAGGCTCATCCCCTATTACACAATAGGCTCACCCCTATTACATGGGACTTATAACATAAATAGTGCATAGTGGGTGTTACATTGTACAATGGCATAATGTGCACCTCCACCTACCCCTTTGGGGATAAAAGGCGTGATGTTATGTTACATCTGATGCATTCAAAAATCTACTTTTTATTTGTAATAATAATTGTACTGAGTAACTAAGTAGTTGAAATTAAGTAGTTTACTTTTGAATGCATTAAACTGTCAAACACCAAGCGGTCACCGGTGACCGCAACCTATTGTTCTTTAATTGTGTCTATAAATACGGTACTCAACGAATTAAATGAGCGACGTGAAAATACACAAAGATCGAACCCGCTCACGTTGCATGGCAGCCGGTTACAGCGCACCGTGTAGCACGTGTGTGTCTGTCGCAGGAATTGTCGGGCTTACGGGGCCCTGAGGACGGGGCGCCCCGAGTGTCCTTATGGTAAATAGCGTTCTGCCCCCAACCCCAAATCCTCAATAACCAAATCCCTTCACTAGTATTAGGTCGGATGTGAAATTACGGTTTTGTGTCTTGTGTTTGGGTTCATAAAGGTTTTAAGAAACAATTAATTTATTAATTTTTTTTTATGGAATAGGCAAACGAGCAGACGGATCACCTGATGGTAAGCGATCAGCGCTGCCCATGGACACCCGCAACACCAGAGGAGTCACAGGTGCGTTGCCGGCCTTTTAAAAAGGAGTACGTTCTTTTCTTGAAGGTTTGAAGGTCGTATCGGTTCGGAAATACCGCCGACGACAGATCATTCCACAGTTTTGCTGTGCGAGGCAGAAAGCTACGTGAGAAGCGCCCAGTAGTAGCCTGCCAACCATCTATATGATGGGGATGCATATGCTGTCGTGAGGGTCGATGGCGAAAAGATGTGGCAGGTATTAGGTCAAACAATTCCTCAGAGCACTTCCCGTGGTATAAGCTGTAGAAAATGCACAATAAATTTAAATCAATAGCCACTTACACGCATGAGCAGTAAGTATCTGTTTATAATCCGGTTCCTTCGTGTCGTCTTCTGGTAACAGGAGTCCGTACTTCTCAGCGAACGTGTGCTTGCTGACCAGCTGACAGAGACGAGCCATCGCTGCGTCGTGCGCCCGCATCTACAATAAAAGCAAACATTTTTAAAAAGCTATACTGTAATGGCAGTTTTTTGAAACCACACCTTTTTTCCAGCGAATGTCGTGAGAGAGATTTGATAGAAATGTATTGATAGAAATGCCCTATTGTTGCAATATTAGTTAATTTCAAAATTCTCAGTAGTAGCACGGAATCTGGAATCGTGTCCAGTATATGGCAATAGGCTCACCCCTTATTACATGGGTCTCATAACATAAATAGTGAAAAGTGGGTGTTACATTGTACAGTGGCATTAAGCGCCGTAATGTGTGATGTTATGTTATTAGTTATTTTTGTCTAATTATTTGTGTTATTTACAATTATAATCTAGAATAAAATACGGCAATGGCAACTTTGAAACACCGATAAGTTGAAATACATGTTCACAAACTTTAATTTCATACAAGTTTTATAAAAAAAACTTATTTAAAATAAAAAAGAATACCAAAACCAATACTCACTTGATCAATTGGCAACACTGCAGTTAACAGTAGGTCCGGGGCGACGGCGTACGCTGGCAACACTAGACCGGGGCAGTCTAGCAGTTCTATATCTTCGTCTAATATCAACGACTGTATGTGCCGTGTGTGACCCGGCATCGAACTTACACTGACCTGAGAAGATTATTATTATTAAAACTTTGCTATAAGAAAATACTTAACCCATATATCTCTAAGCGGTCACCAGTGATCACTCTCCACAAACTACATTATAAACCTTATTTCCAATGTTTAGAGACAACTTTTGCATGAACAAATTTAGGGGATGAATTTCAAAGGTTAAATTATAGAAAATGGTTCTCACCTTTTTAGTCTTCATAAGAACATTGACAGAACTAGACTTGCCGACATTAGGATACCCGATCATACCCACGCTCAGTCTGGGAGGATTCTTTAACCTATCTACTTTCTGACTCTTAAGAACTTCTAGAAGCTTCTCTCTATCAAATACTTCATGTGAATTACGAACTTTAGTTTTATTGTCTTCTATTTGTGTACTTTCATTATTATCTGTGTTTTCTTTAACAGGATAATCTTCTATAGGTTTGCCCAGTCTTAGATTTTCAACAACCCTGTCGAGTATTTCTTGAATCCTATCTATTCTATCAGCAGTAACATTCACAGCCTTGTCAAGATCCCCTAATTGCCTTTTAAACAATTCTATATCTTCTTCCGTATGTTTCAAAGCCTCTTTTTCTACGGAATCATCGTCTAAGTTATGATCTTCTGTGTCTGATATTGCGGAATCTGTTTCAGAGTCTATTGCTTCAGGTGTTGATTCCTCGCTAGCTTCTGATATTTTACGCTCATTCGTTTCTTTAGCCGCCGAGAAGAATATTATTGAGACATTCTGAAACAAATGGTTTTTGGAATTATTTATGTCAAAGTTTCATAATAAAAATGTCTGTGTTAGACCAGACTCAACTACATCTAACTGTACCTACATGAAGAATAGGGTAGTTTCCTAAATTTTATTTTAATGTCCGTCTGGTAAATTTATTTAAAATTTTAAACACGTCTTTTTTCTTTTCACACAAAGTTAAATACTTTCGACGATATATTAATTTGAAATATCGTGTGACGTCACAGCGTGCCACATTTTGTAGCACGTTATGACGTAACGACCTCTCACTCCTAAACTTAGCGCCATCTTATCTAAGCATTACAATTTAATATGAGAAAATAAAAAAATGCGTGTCTAATATTTTTTCATTATCTAACTGACGGATTAATTAGATTTATAATTTTGATACCCTGGAAACTACCCAATTGCACTATAATTCTTATTATAAATATTTTCTTCTGACTAGTATAGCCGCTAATAGGCAACTGTTAATAGGCAAAGAAGTAAATGTCTGAATAGTACTAAATTCTAACTTCTGAATAGTGTAAATGTATGATTGATAGTTTTCTTTAATTTTGAGTATGACTGATTTTTTTTTTATGGCATAAGCCGGTTAACGAGCAGACGGATCACCTGATGGTAAGCAATCGGCGTCGCCCATAGACACCTGGAACACCAGAGGCGTTACAAGTGCGTCACCGGCTTTTTGGGGATTAGGAGTTTGAGGATCGTTGGGGATTCAGGGATTGGGGAGATTGGGGAAGGGGAAGGTAATTGGGCCTCCGGTAACCTCACTCACACGACGAAACACAACGCAAGCGTTGCTTCACGTCGGTTTTCTGCTCGGCCGTGGTATCACTCCGGTCGAGCCAGCCCATTCGTGCCGAAGTATGAGTCTCCCACACTTAAAATTTGATTTTAATGTAATTATGATAATTTGATTAACTTAAGTATGGCTGAGATTTTAATATTATTTTATGTTATGTGTTATGTTATTTTATTGTATATTATAATTTTTAATGAATGGTATTTAAATATTAATTTATGGATCTCCTAGATGTCCGATGTACAATATTTTTCTTCTTCTTCTAAATTCAATAACAATAACTTACTTCTTTAGTGAAGTACTCCGCCCAACATTTCCGTTCATATTCAGTTGTTAAATCTGCCTTGTTCAATAAGAGAATACATTTACATTTCTGTTCCTGAGCATATTTTTCCAAGTCAGCACATCTGAAATCCGAAATTAAAAATTTAGCATAGATCACTAATTATGCTATCTATTTATAAGTTGTTTTGTTTCTTTTTAAAGGACGGATTTTCTCCTGTGTCGTGGGTGCGTTTACAAACATACAAGTTCACAAACACATGACACCCAGACCCGGAACAACAATTTGTGGATCACACAAAGAGTTGCTCCGTGCGGGAATCGAACCCGCGGCACGTTGCGCGGTAGCTAGTTGCCCAGTCACCACACCAACCGTGCTGTCAATTACTGATCATAAGATAATTTGGAAGTGCAATTATGGATTTAAATCAACCTTAATTGCGTTGAAGTACAATATATTATGGCTTTGTTGCACCACCTGCCTTTTTAAGTCACTATTTCCACAATAAATAAACAAAAGACAATACCTGAATAACAAAGGATTCCGAGCATCCAACAGTAGCAGTACAACATCAGACTTTTCCAAGGTCCTCCACAATTGCTTCCAGAGCTCCAAGTTCCTTTCATACGGAGTGACTGCTGCTCCCAGCGAGGCTTGGAGCTCGTTCAAGTGACGGCGCCATTCCAGAAACACCTCACGTTCACGGTTCAGCTGATCTTCTGCTGATATGCCTGGGTGCCACGGAGGTCTGAAAAATATAGTAATTAATCATTATTGATTCTACTAGCTACTTCCGCGCGGTTTCACATGCTCTGCTCAGTTTCTATTGGTCGCAGCGTGATGTTTTATAGCCTATAGCCATCCTCGATAAATGCGCTATTCAACACAAAAAGAATTATTCAAATCCGACTCGTAGTAGCGGAGATTAGTGCGTTCAAACAAACAAACAAAAAAACAAACTCTTCCGCTTTATATAATGGTATACGTAAGATATAAGATTGATGGAAACCTGAGCTTATAATTTCAAATTATAAGTTTCAGATCGCCAACCTGCATTGAGCAAGCGTGGTGATTAGTATGAATAGGAATGTAGATATACGCGAAACACAATTTGTTTTCTGTTGTGTTTCATATGCTGGCAGATAAAGAGGTTTATTAATGCTCAAATCTTCTCCGTGTGAAAAGCATTTGGTCAGCAGTGGCTACTTATAGCCTGATGATGATGATGATGAAAGCAAAATGTAAGTACTATGTTTGACTTTGGTTTCTTATGTTTAACTAGCTGACCCGGCAAAACTTCGTAATGCCTATATTTTTTTTCCTTTTAAATAACCTTCCCTGGACTTCCACGAACATTTCAAGACCAAAATAAGCCAAATCGGTTCAGCCATTCTCGAGTTCATTTTATTAATATAGATTGGGGTAGTATTGGAATTCATAGTATTTAGTCTCTTAAACTGTCAAACACCAAGCGGTCACCGGTGACCGCGACCTATTGTTCTTTAATTGTGTCTATAAAACCGGTACTCGACGAGTTAACTAATAAGAAAGATTAGGACGCATGTTTTGTTTTATCTGTTTGCCTACAAACTACTCTAGTAAACCACATTTAAACTAAGATATGTGAAAAAATATTTTAAAATATCCTCTAACTCAACGACTCTCCTACACTTGGGAGCAAACTAATAGAGCCACTAGCATTATTTTCTCATTTTGTCGAACCCTCTATAACTTAAAAAAATTATTCCTTTTACAACAAAACACTCTCATTTTAAAGGCATTTAGTTGCCTTTAACCCGTCGAGCGTCCGCGTTCCTTATGATCCAACTGTGCACACGTGACATTTGGAGAAAGAAAGAAAGAAAATGCATTTATTTGGCCATTGGCACACGAAAACAAGGATCATTACAATAGAAATAAAAAATACAGTCAAAATAAAAACATAACATTAATATTAGATTTTATAAAAGAGATAGCAGCATGGAGCATTTTTTCTTATAATCCACCGGATGCTCATAAGGACGCTCGAGGGGTTAAAATGAGAGTGTTTTGTTTGCCTTTTATTCTACATACATTACCGATTAATAAAATACTTGTTTCAGAAAATATATATCAAGGAATAAAAAAGAAAAAATGTTACACAGTGTCTTAGTTTTTACTGTTTTTCCTGTTGAAGGACTGCAGGCAGAGATTCCTACGGGAATATGCAGTACCTATGTACCTCCAATTTATTTATATATGTATTCTCCTGTCTGTGTGTGTGTTGTGCATTAATAAATAAATAAATAAAAAACACTATTGGCTCAGTTTGTTTGTTCTCAAGTTTAGTTCAAACTTACCTTCGTGGTACAGTAAGGGGCTGGTCAAAGTTTGGTTGTGAAGTTGCAATTTCAACTTCACTTGGCACAGTATTCACATACTTCAGGTTAAGCTTCTCCGCTGTGAACTCTCTCTGTGCCAGCTCAGCGGTGGAGAGAAACTCTTGTAAGGAGGACTCAGCTGTGACAGACTGGAGGTTCAGACGACCCCAGTCATAGCCATCGTTGACTTCCGTTGTATGAAGCTGAGAACGATTTAAAGGATAAATTAGATATTCTATGTATACGCAGATACAGGGTCTTTGTTCATTGGATGTCTTCTAAGTCAGGGCTGTGCAAATTAACCCTTGTGGACTAATTAAATTTCTTACAAAAGCTGGAGAGCGAGAAAACTGTTTAGAGGTATAATGACGTTTGATATTGTATTCTTTACTCACAGATAAAACTTGTAGACAAATCATACACAAAATTTTATTATTGTTGATGTATATAGATGAAGATATTGAGAATAAAACATGTGTCACAGGCCACATGAAAACAAGCCTGTTTGGCCTTTTTTTGGACAGCCCTGGGTGCTTACTCTTGAAACCAATCTCAATGTCAATGCAATTTTAATCTAAGAAAATCTCAATTGATTCAATGTTAAAACTATACAACCCCTACCATAGCTGTTTAATTAGCATTCAGAGTACGGAATATAAAGCCAAGCTCGATACCATTTAGTTCATTCAATATCCACTCAATATGGATGCTATGGGCGCTAGTGTTGCAAGTCGAGTGTTAAATTTCACAATACCAATGTTGATCGATCGGAATTGGATTCAAGAGTAAGCCCCCTGTTTTAGGTCACGGTTCGCTACATCTTAATGATGTAGCAAAATTGATATGTAAATCTGGGGGCTGCATTTAAAGTTTCAGTCGGCATAATAAGTTCATTTTCAAAAATGAAATTCCAATAAGAACAAGTAACTTTGCAAATATAAGTTACTTGTTCTTTTTGGAATTTCATTTTTTTAATATTGTTAAAACATATTATGCTAGAATCCGATAAAAAAAATATCCTACCATTATCAGGTAGGATTCTTGAAATATTTATAAATAATGTTTTAAAGTCTCAGTTGAATAATAAGTTCATTTTCAAAAATGACAAATAAATATACCTATATGAATAGTTTTTTCCCAATTAGAACAAGATACTGTTACTTGTAAAGTTTATTACAATTATTAAATATTATTACAATACGTTATGCAAGAATACTAAAGAATTAAATGTTTATAAAGTTCATATTCCGAAACAAGAAATAAAGTATTATTATGAGAAAGTTTTTTCCAATTCCAATAAGAACAAGATACTTTTACTTTTTTATTTTTATTTTGAAATAATTTTATATAAATCATATATAATATGCAAGAATACAATTAAAAAAATATCCTACCTGAAAAATTTAATATTATTATGATTCAAGGTTATTAAATTGTTAATTTTTGTCCATATTGGCTTTGAAGTTAAATCAAAAACTAAGAATACAGTTTAGAATATAAAGAATACATTAAATAGGTAGATAAAACATTTAGACCTTAAAAAATAGTTCAAAATAAATACTAACCATGGTGTTGTCCTCAACATGTTTTCGGTGGCGATTCTTCGCAAATCGGTCCTTAATAAGAGCACGTCCTAAAGAATCTTTATTCTTCTTCCCCATTATAATTTGTTTAATGTATGTTACGGCAAATTACAAGAAATAATCAACATCCAATTTGAAAACGTGCGTGTTCAAAAATGAAATGCGATGAATTTCCGCAAGTGTCAATGTAAAAATGACAGATTGACAGTACTCAAAACACATGGTGCTGTATTTGTTTTGTTTGTTGATGTTCGTCATAGAAAAAAAATAAGGAGTTGTTACGGACGGGCTTAGAGTAAGAGCGTTTTCAGTCTATCCGATTAAGACGACAGCGCCGACATCCGATAGCCGACACCATGTCCTTTTTCACATTATTTAATGTGCACCTGGAAAGTTTAGATTTAGATTCTACCAGTTCAATTAATGTAATTATAATATCTTATTTGATGACGCCATGATGACAACCAAAACATAAACTCAAAATGACCGCAGCGTTCTACGCACACAGAGACAATTTAGATAGACGGATAGCACACATACAAACATTATGGTCTGACAGCCACAGCCCACGGGCGTCCGATGGTGCTGCCAACATATTGGTGTCAGGCTCCGATATCCGATATCGTGCCGAACAATACAGGTACATATTTCATACATTTTACTTGCCCCGATATCGTATCGGCGTCCGATACCGGTATCGGATCGGATAGTGTGGAAACGCTCTAAGAGTGCGGGTTAGTGTTCGACTGTTCAAGTCGCTGATACCCGAATCGACGAGTGCTCGTACGACGAATCTCGCTAAAACTAGAAAACAGCTGAAACGATTTGGTTACTTTTGGTCTTAACATAATATTCGTGGAAGTACAGGGAAGGTTTAAAAGGTGAATAAATAATTTTTAAGCGGTTCGAAGTTTGCTGGTTTAGCCAATAAATAAAATATTACAAGTAAACTTATTTAAATACATAGTAATATCTTGGTAATATCAACATTTTGTCTCCTTTATAGTAAACGACACGAATGAAAGAGTAAGAATCGTCACTTATTTTTCTTGTAAAAGTTATATACCTTTTATAAAAAAAATAAGTATACTTATGTCTATTTTTAATATTTCCTTTTTTTCTTGATATTTTCCGCAACCATTTTAACAAAATGTTAAATATGAACGTTGCTGTAAGCGAGCGACCATAGATATGATAGACATTTGATAATAGACAGCAAGGAAGTTTTTAATTCATGAACTTTTTTGGAACTAGTCAAGCAAAGAGTATAATATGTATAGGGGAGTCAAGCAAGCGAGCGACACTTCGATTTTTATGGAGCTTCAAGCTTGCAAAAATACTGTAAAAAGTGAATTCTCAATTTATTATGACTGGTAAAAACCTTAATTAACATAAAATTACTTAAAGTGAAGCACAAAGTGCCAAAGACCGTTTCGAAAATGATGTCCCATTACTACGAGCCCTACCATCGTTGTGAGACACTTGCTGAATTTAATTTTTATTTTGGTGGTGATAATGAAGAAGAAATGGATGATGACGATAATTATATTTACTGTTACTGCAGCAGAGTGTATATAAAGTAAGTAAAGTACCCATTTCTTTTGATAATAATAATACTAATGATCGACTCGTGCTCATTTTTTTTATGCAAAAATGGAGGGAGTTTTCTTTATAGGCGATTTCTTTAATTTTTTATTGTATTTTATTGTATGTTCCATGTTGTTTGTATAGGTCATATTTCTTGTTTCATATTATTTTTACTATTTATAGAACTCTAGTCTGCTGACCAATACTTTGTGAAGTCAAGGCGTGACTAACAAAAAATATCAAATGGCTAGATAAATATTAGTTCTAAAAATATTAATTAAAACAAACCATTACCATTTCTCCATACTCTTCACTCTTCATTCATACTCCATATTCTAATTTAGTGAAGAAGAGTATTTCTGCTACAAAGTATATCTCTTAAATAATTTGATGAGTCTTTGAATCAATAATGTAGATTGTTATTTGTTTGCAAATTCGCCTCAGTAGTTAAACAGGTATCTTTATCAAGTACCAAACAGTTGATTCACACAAAAATATCTATACTTTTCATTCAAGATATAAACAATGAAATTAAACTACAAAAATATTAAAAAAATATATTTTAACTTAACAATGAACTAAACTAACAAAAATACTTACAAATTATAGAAATCCATTATCAAAGTAATAATTTAGGAGAACAATTGTCTAGTTTTTATGCTATTAAGGGACTGATGTCAGAATACTGAAACATTACTCAATTTTAAGTTGCGCTTAAGTATAGTTCTGTCACCACTAATTCTTTGTGAAATGACAGAGATTAGATTCCCACACGGAATAACACTTTGTGTAATCCACAAATTGTTGTTTCGGGTCTGGGTGTCATGTGTATGTGAACTTGTATGTTTGTAAACACACCCATGACACAGGAGATAATCCTAGTCTGGGGCAACGTTTTTAAAAAAACCAGAAAACAGGAGATAGCACGATATTTAAGTACGACTTAAAATTGAGTAACGTTTCAGTATTCCAGCATGAGGGACGCAATAAAACAACACCACATGCAAACAAGTCACCCAAAACCACACTTTGCACATGTTCACAGAATCCTCATGACACAAGTTGTTGTTTGAGAACTTTGTTTGCATGTTTTTATTGCATTGCATCCCTATTGAGTGTGTCTTTATCTATATACTAGCTACTTCCTCGTGGTTTCACACACTCTGCTCAGCTCCTATTGGTCGTAGCATGATGTTTTATAGCCTATTCCCGTCCTCGATAAATGCACTATCCAACACAAAAATAATTATTCAAATCAGACTTGTAGTTATGGAGATTAGGGTATTCAAACAAAAAAACAAACTCTTCCGCTTTATATAATAGTAAACGATAATTTATAATGGCTGAACCGATTTGGCTAATTTTGGTCTTGAAATATTCATGGAAGTCTGTGAAAAGTTTAAAATGTCAGAAAAAAAAATTTTGGTGGTATGAAGTCTGCCGTGTCAGCTTATTTGAAATATATAAATTCTTCAACTTTGACTCTTGTTAGTCTGTAAGATATAAATGATGAAAATTCAAGGAGTTAAAAAGGTATGATGTCATGATGAGTTCTAATAATTAATGTCACGGTTTCAGAGATGGCGTTGACACCTACTTTGTTGACAAAGAGTATGCAAGTGAAAGTGATGTTGAAGTCCTGCGGGACTCACAGTCCCAAGATTTGGAGGACCACTCCCATGTGCATTTCTCTTTAGATGCTTCTTACAAAAATAAATGTGAGGTAAGTAATCAATTAACAATCTTTTTGTTACCATTTATTTTATTGTATTATGCTAATAAAACAGTGGAAAGGTAAATGTTTGATCATAACTAGGTAAAGCTTTAGTTGACAAATTTCAAATCAAAACTTATCCATAGGTGACGCTGATTGGTTGCCACCAGATGATTAGTGATCTTGATTGCAATGAAAAACCTGACTTAAAAAAATGCAATAATTTTTTGTAATTTTTTATACAGCTCTGCTCCACCATGATAATATTGTTACGTTTTTATTCCATAGTTTCTTCATTATAACTATGTGCAACATAATACATAATATAATGTTTACAAATGTATTAATTTTTATAGAGAGATGATGTTGCAAGCTGCTACTGCAGTGCATCCCACACTGAGAACTGCTGTTCTACTGACGAACATGATGCAGGCCACACTCACGGCACTATCTCCCATGCACTACAGCCCAGTGATAGCGGTGCCGACCTTACCTACCAAGACTATCACTTTGAAGGTCATGATAAACTCGAACGAATGGATGAAGACCTCCCAGATTCTCCAGAAAACTATTTAGCTGAAGATACATGGGAAAAGTTTTGGGCCATTCATGGAGAAAGACTGATTTGGGCATCCTGGATAAAGAAGTACAGTGACTACATCAACCCAGCTTACTTGGACGAAAATAACGACTTAGTTCTAGATGAAAACAACATACCAAAGCAGCATTCTGTCGATCAGATTTATAAGAAACAGTCGGAAACTACTCAGAAAGTAGAAGATGAAGAAATGAGGGAAAGGAAATTCTCGTATGATTCGAAAGTGAATCCTTATAAAAAGCGTAATTCTCAAAATCAATCCGAGAAGACTGATAAAAATAATGAATTAAATAAAGATGAAGCTTGGTTGCCAATAGCTAGGCGTCGGTCCTGTTCTGAACATGACAGAATTTTAAGTCCGAGAACCGTAGATGGGACAGACTCCATGACTAACGTGACCCGGCTCACTCTATCTAGCTACGATGTTACTTCTAGCCACATCACATCAGAATCTACGCCTACCGACACTGACTACAGTGTGTCATCATCCTCGTCCGACGACCCGTCGAATGATCAGACGAGGATAGCGAACTTAGAAGAAAAGTACGAAAATCTAGAAGTGCAAACAGATGAGTTAGATCCTGAGCAATATTGGCAATATTTGTGGAAGAAACATTTCGGAGAACAGTACGCCTTGCATTTTGCGCACTACACAGAACACCACAATGCTCAAGCCAACGAGGTGCCAGCTATACAGATCGAAGTTGTACCAGAACCAGCGAAAATTGAAGAAAAGCTCTTAGAAATAGAATGTGAAAACAGTGAAGGAAACTCTCAAGAAACACCTACAGTTATTGAATTACAAAAGCAAACAGATCAGATCTCCTTAGAGGACAAGCCTAAACCTGAAAAAAAGAAAAAGAAGAAGAACAATCCTTATTATTCTTCTTCTTCTTCTTCTAGTAATAAGAAGAAAGATAGTGGAAGATACATAACTTCTGTCGGTGTTTTACTACAGAATTTATTAAAGGAAGAGCAGGCAAAGCAAAATGAACTTACTGATGTGGCAGATAAAACAGAAAATGACACGAATAACACAGACAATACGCAAAAAACTGAAATGGATGTAGTTGATAGTACAACTGTTTCAAATAATACTGAAAACTTTAATAGCAATAATAATAATAATTCAAATTCGTATTCCAATGACGGTGATGATGAACCGCCAGAAGACACGCCTGCCGTCTTAAAACGAAGGTCAGAAGTTGTTAATTTTCTATACTTAATCTAGATTTCGTTGCTTGATTTTTTCTAGGTACTAGCAATTGTTTAATTTTTTAAAACAACGTTGCCTCACACTAACATATTTTTCGGAGTTCTGGGTGTGTTTACAATCATACAATTTCACATACACATGTCACCCAGACTCGGAATAATAATTTGTGGATCACACAAACAGTTGTTCGTTGCGGGAATCGCACCCGCGACATATTGCGCGGCAGCCGGTTGCCCAGCCAATGAACCAATAGTGCCGACAAATGGGTTTCGTAAAAAAAAAATATTTTCATTTCTTTATACCTTGATATATTTTGCCTCTTATTTCTTTTTGTTAAGATGTTATTTACATACATTTTTGACCTGGGATAAAAACGATAATAATACTGGCAACCTTAGTCGTAGCGTGATCTAAGTTTCGAATCATAGATAATTTTCAATGTATTTTTTCATCAAAGTGTCGAAGCATATCATTTTCAACAAATTAATAAAATTATTACATTTACAGCCATGAACTCGACGACGAAGAGGACGTAGCTCAAGCTAAGATAAAAAGCACCATACAGATGATGGGATTCTCTGTGGACACTGACAAGTTGCCCAAAGGCGAACTGATTTATAGAAAGCGGCCAGGCAAACTGCGCCCGCCTAGGCTAAGGAAAAACATGGGCAATAAGAAGACTTATTTCGATGAAGATGGCAATCCGTGCCAGGTGAGTTATTTAGCCCCTTCTCTACGACAGATCGATCTATTATTTGGATCACACTGTTAATCTTGAAGACCGACGTGATACAACGCTTGCGTTGTGTTTCGTCGTGTGAGTGAGGTTACTGGAGTGGAGTGGAGGCCCAATTCCCCCCCCCCCCCTCTTCCCCAATACCTGAACCTCCAACAGTCCTGAAATTCCTAATCCCCAAAAGGCCGGTAACGCACTTGGTGTTTCGGGCGACCCTGCAGCTGTAGCCAAATGCCATTTAGCGCTTGTCTACATGTAGAATAGAAAACCAAATTATATGGAATTGACGTAACTTTTATTTATTTATTTAAAGCTTCATGCACAAAATGTACATAAGGTGGACTTAATGCCGCAGGCATTTTCTCCCAGTCTGACCTTTGACACTTGTCAGTGTCATCCCCATACATTTAGTTTTCTACTCTCTCTGTAGACAAACGCTAAAGTGGGGTTTGGCTAAAGGCACTGATTACTTACCATCAGGTGATCCGTCTGCTCGTTTACCGGCTTATATCCCATAAAAAAAGTAGAATAGGACTCATCATAACCATTTAACATTTTTCAATAAAACAGGTTTAGTACGTATGTATTCTCGCGCGGACAAGTAGAACGTGTAAAGCAATTACAGGGCATAATTTTTATGTATTTTTCAGCCAAAGGATTCTCCAGACGAGAGGGAAATGCAGACGGATGATGACTGCACAGAACTGAAGTCCGGTGGCACACCACGTCTCATGTCCAAAGACCCAAGCTTGGAAGACGATACGGCGAAATTATCAGAAGCAGCGGCAGTTGCTTTACCTTGCGACGCTGATGATGATGACAAAGAACTGAAGACTGAAGGATCTCAACACGGTAATGGTTAGGTTTTATTGCTTACTAGCTGAACTCGCAACTTCGTATGCGATTTTCTAAAATAAAAATTATTCCTTGGGACATCAGCTACCGGCCAATAAAAGTCCCGTCAAAATCGGTCCATCCATTCCAGAGATTTGCCAGTACAAACAAACAGACACTTCAATGTAAAAAATGTTATTTTAATATTACCAACAGACACTCCAATTTTATTTATCTGTATAGATTTATCTCTCACTAGCGACCCGCCCCGGCTTCGCACGGGTGCAATATGCATATATTATACATATAAACCTTCGTTAAGAATCACTATCCATTTAAAAACCCGCATCAAAATCCGTTGCGTAGTATAGATCTAAGCATACATAGGGACAGAGACAGCAGATAGCAACTTTGTTTTATACTATGTAGTGATTTTATTAGTAGGATGTCCATAACAAAACTAGATATGTCTAACGTAACACATAAATTATAGTGTAGTGTGTAAACTAAAAACGGAAACAATCAGACATTTACATCATAGCAATGTAATATAAACATTTTTGCAGATAACTCTCGGATGCCAGCGGAGCTTAGAGAAGACCCGAGGATGCACAAATACTGGAAGAAAAGGCACTCGCTCTTCCACAGGTTGGTTTATATCTATATTATCTGTCCTCCTGTTTAAGGTACTTAAATAATGTATAATAAGAAAATGAAGTTAATTTTCAAATGAGATTTGTTGTTCAGAAACATTAAGTTAAGATATTTCTTGTCTCAATTGTATAGTTTCGTTTCCTTGGCTACAGGTTCGACGAAGGGATCCAGTTGGACCGCGAGAGCTGGTTCAGCGTAACCCCAGAGAGCGTGGCGAGTCATATCGCTCAAAAATATAAATATGACGTTGTGTTGGACGCGTTCTGCGGTGCTGGCGGCAATACCATACAGTTTGCGAAGACCTGTAATCGGGGTAGGTAACACTTCTCTCCGATACCTACTGTTTTCCACTAGAAACCAGTAGTTGCTTAAGTGTTATTTTTTCTATTGTGTTGTTATCTAATGCCTGATTATGTTCAACAGTCATCGCGATAGATATTGACCCGACCAAAATTGAGATGGCCCAACACAACGCTAAAGTTTATGGCGTCGCGGACAAAATAGAATTTATAGTAGGCGACTTCTTCCAGTTGGCACCGCAACTCAGTGCGGATATGGTCTTTCTCAGTCCGCCATGGGGAGGCCCGTCGTATTCAAAAGTAAGTGGACTTTAGAGTTTTATTCTTGATCTTCAGCCCTTTGTATCTAACCACTGTTAGTTTCACTGTGGAAATCGTCACTCTACGTACCAAGAGAGCTCCGTGCCCTACACTACATAGACGTATTTTCCTTGTTAGATCACTTCATATCGGAATCGATCTGTTGAGAGAGATTCCTAGATCTCTGTAACTCACTGCACAATTTTAAATTGGTGGTTCAGTCGCCCTGCCAGTGTATGTCTCAATTGGGAAGATGACAGGGTATGAAAATTAAAAATCTAATTAGTCCGTAAGTTAGGTAATTAAAAAATATTAGAAACGTAAATTTTTATTTTGTCGTATAATAAAACAATACTTAGATAAAACGAATCAAAGTTTAGGAGTGGGGGCTAAAACGCCATTTCTACGTATAAAATGTATATAGAAGTGACGTCACGCGACATTTCAAATCAATATATCGTCGTCATCATAAAAAATACGTGTCTAATGTTTTGAAATAAACTACCAGGCTGACATTAAAATGAAAATTAGGCATCTACCTTCTTGCATGGTAAATGAAATGCACTCGTTGTCAACTTCCCGCAAAGTTTTCTATACTTTGCCCAACTGAACCACATCATCATACACAGCTTTAAGAAGGAGGCTCCTCCTTCTTAAAGCTGTGTATCCAACTTGTCATCTTGTCAGCTGTATACAGTGCCGTAACTAGCCTTATAGGCGCCCGGTGCGAACTTTTAAAATTGCGCCCTTGAAAAATGTTCTTACCAGGCTCTGACAATAAAATGGACAAAGTGCATGAAAATATTTTAACTGTTTATTGTGTAGGTACTAAGTTATAGGTCGGTACTTAGTAGATGTTTTAAGACAATTCGTTGCTGCCATTCCGCCATGAGATCGCGCCGGAGCTCTTCCCGCCACGCACTTATCTGGCGCGACAGCGGAGTTTCGCTCCGGCGACGTGCCGCGTGCATGCGATACACGCGCGCGAGCACCTTCACCTCCAGATCCCACGGCGGTAATCCGGCAAGGAGGTTCGCCGCCTTCCCGGAGATCGTGCGGTATCCGCGGATCATTCGGATCGCCATGACCCTCAGTGACATGAGCAGCGCCCGAGCGGGCCGCCGCATCAGGTTTGGCGCCCACACAGGGGCACCGTAGAGGGCCATAGACCGCACGACCCCGGCGTGGTCTCCGGCAGGAGGCGTTTGGCCCCCCGAGGTTGGGGAGGATGCGCTTAAACGCAGCCCCCGTCCTCTCCAACTTTAGAGCCAAACATCGGAAGTTCTCCACGAAGTTCCACCAACTGTCGAGGACACACATAGCCTCGAACTTGTGGAGCGCCACCTCGAGTCTCAATTGCCGGATTCTCTCAACAACTGTCGCAACCGCTGTCGCCATTAAGTCGGCCGCCTCCTGGTGCGACCTCCCGTGCGCTAGCACCAGCGTGTCTTTGGCGTAGCATATGATGCTAACTGGGTGCTCCCAGTCATAGCCGATGTTCCATAGGAGCGGCCCCAGAACCGAACCCTGTGGAACAACTCTATGACATCTCTCGCCGGTTCCACTCGCCCCGGTGACCGGGGTAAATGACGGACCTGTCCGTCAGGTAAGCCTCGATTACACGACGGAGGTAGGTAGGCATTCGATGATTTCGGAGTGCCTCCAAAATGCAGCTCCAGGGCAGGGAGTTGAAGGCGTTGGTGATGTCCAGAGACACCGCCAGGCCTGCACGACAGCGGCTTCCAGAAGCAGCTCCAGGTCCAGCTGTTTCAGCGCCCAACGCGGGCCACATGGGGCCTGTCTGACCGGCGAGTCCGCGGACTCGGCGGAGACGTCGAACCGGATATACCGGTGATCGGGGTACGTCTCCACCTCCTCCATGACGTAATTACTACAACCGCGGTCCTAGGGGCGAGGAGCAAGGCAGCAGCCCGTTTCTCCCTGCGCTGCTACTGCCGTCGCTGCCGCTGCGCCTTCTTACGGCACTTACGGCCCTCCTTGGCGACTCTCCTCGCCTCACCAGCGTTTTGCCACCCACCGCCGTCCTCCGCTCGCGGGGCGGGTCCCACCGCCGCTGCTGCAACTCCAGCCTGCCGGGATGGAGTGCCTCTCCTTATTTTGTTTCGCCCAGCGGGCGCATGCGCCGCGGGCGCAGGTGCCGCGGGCACAGACACCCAAAGTTATAGTAGGTATAGGTACTTTTGTTTGTGTATGTAATATTGCGAACAAGACTTAAGGTGGATATACATTTGTCTGATGTCGTTTGACATGTGTTGTTGATTCAAGATCGTTTAAAAATGCGATACAGATTTAGATAGTACAGTCTGGTCATTTCTGCGCCCCTCCAGGGTCTGCGCCCTGTGCCTGGGCACCGCTGGCACCGCCCTATTTACGGCGCTGGCTGTATACTTAATTTAGTTTATTGATTTCAAAGTCAAACCATTTATTTCAATTAGTCCTTAACCTTTTGAACGCCAGAGCAAAAACGCATGAACTTGCCCTCAACGCCAGGCCACAAATTCACCGCAAATACCTACGAAAAAAATAGGGATTCCAAAACTTCATCGATAATCAATTTTATTTTCATTTTCGTCTTTAATTTCGAAATATAATGTCCTTATAACATTGAAATTTAATTCAACATTACATTTCTTCCTATTAAAGTAATAGTTATACACTATTTACAGACTTGTATAATACCGTAATAACAGATATGAGACTACAATATATTTAAATATAATAACTGTAGGTACAACACTATTCTTGATCTGCTGTCTTCATATTGTGACCATGGCGTGGACGGCCCGCCATTTTAATAACTACTTCGCTTCCGAAATAAGGATGTGGCAACGTAATATCTCGTTTATCGATGTTCTAGTACAATATTATTTTATAATAAATGAAACACGTTTTTTAAATCAGATTTATAATTCCGAATGTAACAGGTACTTAAAAATATATGATTGAAATAGGTTAAGAAGGTAAATAAAAACTATGAAAAAATAGAAAATTTTAATAAAATGTCATACAGTATGTACTATGTATACATGTTTTTAAATATTAAGTTCTATAAACCTGGCATAAAAAGTAACAAATTAAAACAATTAACGATTATATATAATTATCACAATTACCAATCAGTCTTATACTAATAAATCTTTTGAATAATAGAACAAAATTATAAATTCTGTTTCCGAAAATTCTTCGTCATCTGAGACTCCTCCTAATATGCGAAGAAGTTCTTCCGTAGTCATTAAATTCCCACTCATTATAATAGTCACTTAATATAAATCTTGAACTCGATATCACAAGTAAATTAATCATAAATATTATTCATTCACTTCACTAATTTCTGGTCGCCGCGCTTGTGACGTCACGATATTGTCGTCTAGTCGTGACCATGGCGTACAGGGTACTGATAATTCGGGTTGCGTTAGGGATGCGCTTGAGTTGGGATTAGTGAATATCGAAATTCGACCCAACCAAATTTTATTTTTGACTATGTAGCTTATTGAATGATTTTTAAGACTGGTTTTATAAAATTAATGCTGCTTTATCCTAGTACCAAATTATACCTAAAATAATATATTCCAGAGGAAAGTTTCGAATCGATCTTTGATTTGAAATAATGATATTATCCAACATGCGCTACATCACTAGCGGTCACGCAGTTATGACTCTGGCGTGTGAGGACATTCTTTTTTCAGAGTTTATTTCTTTCTTTTTAACGTAAAATTTCTCAATATTTATAATGCAATTTAATTAGTTATATGGAAATAAATAAATTTCGGACCTTCTATTTTACAGGTATATAAATAAATAGGCATTAAAGTAATGTTTAAATAGTTTATTTCGTGTTTTAATGTACCGCTGTTTTTGTCACATATTTGTGTCGTTGGCGCTCAGGGACAGTTTTCGCTTGTCACGTATTTGTGACCCTGGCGCTCAAAAGGTTAATTAGGCACTTCTAAAATGTTCACAGAATGCAGAATATGACATCGAATTGATGCTGGAGCCAAGACCGGCGTCAGAGCTGTTGCGGGTGGCCCATACGATATCGCCTAATGTAGAGTTATATATACCCAGGAACTCCAGGCCCGATCAAGTAAGATATCACACCCTATTCTGCTTGTAATATAATGTGTTGAGATTCATTCTCATGTTTCTGAAATATTGTTATTATTGTTATAATTACTCTTTTGTTGTTGGTAAATATATATTCTTTTTTTGTTACAGATTATATCTATTGCAAAAGAGGTTGGGTGCTCTGTTGAAATAGAGCAGAGCTTCCTTGATAGACGTTTCGTGGCTATAACAGCGTACTTTTTCTAAACTCGTCGTAAATCAGTTAGAACAGAGACAAATAAGTGTTAAACTAGTGCAGTGTTGTGACTTTTTATTATGTAAATCTTTATATGATTTATTCAAATGAAAACCATACTTACCACATATACAATAAGGTTTTAAACTCTTAATGTTTACTAATCCAGTAGGTACATTATATAATCAAACTTTTTAATATTATGTATAATTATGTTAATTAGTATGTTTTTCGGCTTACTCATGTAATTATTTGACGAGGATTTCGACTAGTTTCAAGCCATGCTAGAGATTCAAAGCCTGCGACGCGGCGACCAGTAGCAGCGTGGTTGTCGCCGAGTCGCGGGTCGCGGAATGTTGCTATGAATATAAGCCTCTAGCATGGCTTGAAACTAGTCGAATTCCTCGTCGAATAACGACGTGAGTGAGCCGAAAAACTTAATAATTTATTTATAGTCCATCTGTTTAGGTAATTAACTAAAGGTAAACAAAGAAAACCACGTGACACAGAGATACTTAACCTAGTATTACTTCAAATATTTCTCGTGTTTTAATTTTAACCAAATTCACTTTAAACTCGTACATTTGTCATGCACACATATACAACTACAAATGCCTAAATCGTACAAGAGCCTTGCCTATGGGTCTATTTCATTATCATGTTTAAATAGAAACTATTCTGAATCTGATGTACGGATTTCTTTCTTGTACGGATATGTGTCTTTGGGCCAAGTTTCTTCAAAATATTTGAACACATTAATTACAAACGATGAATAACCTAAACTTGAATAACTTAATAACGAAAACAAAACAAAGAAACAAGATAAATTCAACAAAATAGGAACGCGAGCGCAAACGACGAGAGAGCTGTCAATGGCGCCTGATTAACCGACTAAACGTAATACACGCTACTTTCATTGTCGCGCTACATCTTAGTTGTACTCTTTAATTTGACAACATTATTTTGCTTCGTTCTTAAAGAAAAGTTTTGGATACCTCGGATTTTAGGCTCTTTATGGTGTCTATTGTAATGAAATATTATATTATTTAATAAATGTTATTAAATTAATATCCTCAAGCAGATATATATAATATTTACTAAGAAATAAGTGAAAAGGAATAGAAACAAAACATTTAATAGAGAAAACTGTCGTAAAAAGGGAAACAATTTTATTTTCTTATGAAATATTTTGAATCATGGAAATGTCAACTATAAAGAACTCTTTTTATGGTTTGTTTACAAATAGTTAACTACCTAAACAGACGGAGTATAGAATGTCTCACGAAATTTATAATAATCTTATGCCTAAGTGTAAAAATGTTAAAATATTTCTTCATAATATTCAGCAATTTCATTACTGTTAGTAGAATTATTTCAAGCAAATAGTTTAATCTCAAATTGTATCTAGATTCTAAATAGTACCTAGTCATTAAGCAATTTGTAAACTGTTAGGATCTACATTCAGGTGGGATAGAAGCCCCTTGAAGAAGTATGTGGGGAGCTTCTGATTGCCAGTATTTAGATACAGGGAAACTTGTGGAAAACAACATGTTGTTGTGACCTAAGCGTAGTTCGTGTATTCTTAATGCATATGAAGAGAATATGTCCAAATATCCAAATATGGTCCCATAATGCCATACCAGTTATTTCCATCACCTTGTTCAAACACTTTATATTCCAAAGTGTTTTGGTAATCTCCATCCATTTTGCTTTTAAATTGTCGTTCGATAGCGAGTAATCATTTCCCTGCAAGGACGCTGAAAAAATGGTGGACATAGTCTCTTGAGACAACGACTGTGGTACCTGGCTACTATAGACTTACACGCAGAATACACACACATTGACACGATGGACATCTGGCGCGTGACATGGCCTGTCATTACATGTACACCCATAAATACCATTGACATTTTGATGCTTCAATCATTTGGTAGTGACATTACGTCCGCCCTTTTGTCAACGTCCTGGTTTCCTTGGAAATGTATCTTGAATAATGTACTTCAAGATTTCCTCGTCATGTTTGTTTCAGTCTGGTCTTAAACGCTTTGCCTTTGTACATTGTGAGGTGTAAAGATAATACTTAATATGTGGTTTTCAACTGCATTTAGAGGACATACGTTAGATGGCTGTATTAAAAATTAACAGCAAAAAGAATTTGGTCTAACGACCATAACCGAACCAAGTTTTAAGTAGATTGGTATTATGTTTTATTAGACACTCAATCCGCAATACCGTTTTCTCCCGTTCCCGTAGAATTTTCAGGATTTTTTCTGTCTTAAGAATCTTCTCCTAATAATAACAAATACAAAAAAAAAAAAAGAATTAGTGAAATCAATCCAGCCATTCAAGCGTGATGCCGTGACCAAGGGAGAAATCATCTATTTCGGAAACTCCAAAATATCACGTACGATGTACTTTCATTTAGATTTAAATGTAGCTTCACTACAACATATTATAAAACAAAATCACTATCCGCCGTCTGACTGTCCCTATGTATGCTTAGATCTTTAAAACTACGCAACGGATTTTGACTCGGCCAACTAGGCAGTCTTTGTATTGTCTTAAAACATATAACCTAGGTTTCAACTGTGCGAGATAAAAACAGTTAATCGTGTCAACAGTTTGCAATGGTCTTTCTACGATAATTGAAATTCAATTGTACTTTCTTTTGATAAGCTTCATATTCTTGGTATCCTCAATAGGTTGTAGTGTATCTGGTTCGACAAGAATATCTTCGAGTTTTCTCTTCAGGCCACCTGAAGTAGAGGGCGTCGCCATGGCTGTGTTATTCATTCTTAAGTCGTTATATTTACTTTGTTGTGTATATAAGTTGTACACTATGTCCAGTTTAAGTGGTAACTAGTTTCTTCTAGTCCTTTCTTTGTACTAAAAAGGTTATTTTATTTTATTTCGACAATAACATATTGTATAAAATCGGTATTTTAAGAATAAACGTATGTAATGTAAGAGTTTGTTTGGTTTTATTTTTTAAATTGCCTTAGCCCCTAAAATTTTATCATGATTCTTATATTATGACGTCATGCAAACCGCTATAAATGACAATTTCCATCGCCTGCGCCGTGTCTAGACCTAACACTGGTTGTCGCGGAGAACCTAACGGGTAACCGGGGCTCCGGCTCGACGTGCAGGAGAAGGAACGGGGTGGTTTTTAGTCAGTAAGAGTCTGACACTCCTTCCGCCTCACCCAGGCGGGAGCAGTCATTCGATGATTTTCCCCCCTTAAAAAAAAGACCTAACACTGGTTGACTTTTACGTATGGGAAGACATGCAGTACCTTGTTTATGTCACATGCCGTTGTTAAAATCCTTCGCGGAATAATAATTGAAGCGGCTGAAGAAATCAGAAATAAAGACAGTACAGCACAAAAAATACAAAATTAAAAAAGAAAAGAAAAAATAATTGCAGATACTTAGGTATAGGTACTACAAAACAATAATAATAAACTAAAAGAATAATGACAAGAACAAAGAAAAAAGAAAGTATAACAAAATATTGTGAATACAATAATAACACTAATTACATAATAAAAAAACAAGATATAAATAACATTTAAAACCGCGTGCCCTTGCCAAAAGGGCTTCCATCTCAGCATTGAGTTGAGCCTACATGTCCAACGCTGATTTTCAGATGGCACCCTCAACCCTGCAGTGACTCACGGACGGCGGTACGCCGTGCCGCTCGATAAGAAAAAGAAATAAATATAAAAATACAAATATCTAAAACAATTATTCTGCAGGATACATGTGTGTGTGTGTGTGTGTGTGAAAAATTGTGATCCAGAAAAATGTAACTAATATACAGGGCCGGATTTAGGGGTCCAGAGGCCTCGGGGCAACAAAGGAGTGGAGGCCCCCTTGCCCCAAAATGATTTTCCAGATTGCGCTCGCTCGCTTGATTTCGAGGACGCTCGAAAGCGATCGAGGACGCTCGATTGATTTCGAGGACGCTCGATAGATTTCGAGGATTCTCGATAGATTTCGAGGACGCTCGAAAACAATCGAGGATGCTCGAAAACGATCGGGGACGCTCGAAAACGATCGAGGACGCTCGAAAACAATCGAGGACGTTCGAAAACAATCGAGGACGCTCGATTGATTTCGAGGACGCTCGATAGATTTCGAGGACGCCCGATAGATTTCGAGGACACTCGAAAACAATCGAGGACGCTCGATTGATTTCGAGGACGCTCGATTGATTTCGAGGACGCCCGAAAACGATCGAGGACTCTCGATAGATTTCGAGGACACTCGAAAACAATCGAGGACGCTCAATTGATTTCGAGGACGCTCGATTGATTTCGAGGACTCTCGATAGATTTCGAGAACGCTCGAAAACAATCGAGGACGCTCAATTGATTTCGAGGACGCTCGATAGATTTCGAGGACGCCCGATAGATTTCGAGGACGCTCGAAAACAATCGAGGACGCTCGAAAACGATCGAGGATGCTCGATAGATTTCGAGGACGCTCGACAGATTTCGAGTTTAAGAATTGAAGAATACCAATTGTTCACATACTGCAATTAATTTTTTTAATGGTCGAGACACGGAATCGAATAGCCAACCTCCGAGGTTGCGGGCAAGTACCATCCCACTGAGCCATTGAGCCATTGGGGTACTCCCTCAAGATGGGTAGTAAATTGAAAGTGCTTATCAGAGCCATTTGAGATTTTGATATTTCACTGATTGCCTGATTGGAGTGAACAAATATAGATCAATGATTTCTGTTTCTGTTAATATTTAAAATTAATATAATCAAATAATCATGTATGTATAAAGTACTTTAGGCTGTAGGTAAAGGTAAAAGCGAAAAAAAAAGTATCAAAAAGATGTTTACTAGGTTTACTAGTTGAAATTTGAAAGATTTTTTTTTCCGAAGTCTATTGTGGAGGCCCCCTGCTTGTGGAGGCCCCGGGGCTTTCGCCCCGGTTGCCCCCCTTAAATCCGGCCCTGCTAATATAATATTTTAAAATGCAATTATAAACGTGAGCT